GGGAGAAATGTGAATGTATTATCTTGCAAGGCTTTTGTTTTCCTAAATGCCACTTGGCAGTTTATCTCCCCCCTACAGTGGACTTCTCAATCACCTTTTGTGGCTGTATTAAGATAATTATTTCAGGTTACTTTTTAGGAGAATACAGGCTTTATTGTAATAATTACACATCTATAACTTTTTCCTCACTTCTTATCAAATGTTTCATGAAGGCTCAAAAATTGAGTGTCATTATTCCCGTGTATTATTAATTTCAGAAAGACCTCTAGAGACAAAATTCGAGGTAGTTTAAAAAATAATCCAGTATCCCTCAACAGTTAGAAATGTAGCGCTGCAGCCTGGCATCATAAGGGTTTGCCCAGCCCACTTTGAGGTCTTCCACCTGTCCCCACTGTGGCTCCAGTTAGTGCTAGAGAAATCCACAAGCAGCCAGAGGAGTGATCTTCCCACAAGCACAATCTAAGAGGGATGTTAGTGCCTCCCAGGTCAATAAAGTAATCAAAACGAATTCTTTCAAAGCAGCGGTCCTCAATTAGGGGCAAGTCTAGTGCCCCCACTCCCCACCCCAGCATTTGATAAAGTCTGGAAACATTTTAGGTGATCCTACTGGGTGCAGAGGTGTGCAGGGAGCAGTAGATGAGGGGCTACTGGCATCTAGTGGGTAGGGGCCACAGATGCTGCTGAATAGTCTACAATACTCCAGACAGTATCCACAACAAAGAGTTATCCAACCCATAATGTCAGTAGTACTCAAAGTTAAAAACTCCTTTTCTGAGGTTACAGTAATCGAAATAAGGATTTATCCAACCAGTATAAGTCTATGAATACACAAGCAGACTTCTACCTGCTATAGTCTGAACATTTGTGTCCTACCAAAATTCATATGTTGAAATCCTAACCCCAAAGGTGGTGGTATTAAAAAGGTAAGGCCTTTGGGAGGTTACTTAAGTCAAAAGAGCACAGCCTTTATTATTGGAATTAGTGCCCTTACAAAAAAGATAAGCCAGAAATCTAGCTAACCCCTTCTGTCATGTGAGGACATAATTTGAAGTCACCATCCATGAATCAGAAAGTAAACCCTCAACAGAAAATGGATCTGTCGGTGCCTTGCTCTTCAAATTTTGTAGCCTCCAGAACTATGAGAAATAAACTTCTATTGTTTATAATCCACGGTGCCCTCTGCTCATTCTCACCTGCTCCACTCACATAATTCTCTTACACTTTATCTCAACGTTCCTTCGTCATCACAACACATCTTTCTGTTTATTTTCTTCCTGATGGCTTCTCATAGGAACTTTGGCATTTCTCCTTTCTCTGATGAGCTGCTGCATGCCATGCTTGGAAGACAACCCACAAAGGACAGTAAGAAAAGGGACTACTTATGACTCAATTTTTAAACTTCTCATTAAAAAAATAAACAAGGAATAATGAAGTGCCAGACCATTGTTCCATTGTCTGCAACAAACTTGGGTTAATTTAAATCAAACCTACTAAGTAGGTCAATTAAAATCTCTTAAACCTTCTGGAAAAAAGTTCTTTTTCAACCAATATTCAAGCTGGGTGCAGTTAAGGATTCACAATGTTAAGAAGCCACAATAAAGGAAAGAATTTTTCAAAATCAAACGAAGGTGCTCAACCAAACTATACCAGGTGGTGAATGTTTATCTGGCAGAATTGGCCCACCATTAAATTGATTTACATATCACAGTTCAACTAACCAGAACCCAACTCATCAGAACTCTTAATTAAAGGGAATTACTTCCTCATATTTGACTCCGTCAGACAGAAAGTAATATATATTCAGAGCCATTAAATTTCAAGCATTCAGGATATAAGAGCCCACCAGTTAGATACTGTTATCTTCATTTTCAGGAGAGGATACTTTAAAAGAAGTTAAACTACATTCATCTGACTGTATGGCGGGGGGCGTATTTTGAGACAGAATCTCACCATACAGTCCAGGCTGGCCTTTGAACTCACTGTGTAGCCCAGGCAGGCATCAGACTCACAGTGATCCTCCTGCCTCAGCTTCAGTGCTGGAATTACAGGCATGCGTCACCACATCCGGCTTATGACTGTACACAGCTCAGAAACAGAGTGGTCCTACATTCATCCTTTTACAGTCATTCATTTAGTGAACCAATTGTTGAACAACAATCTGGACCATGCAAGTATGAAAGTTGCTCATGGTGGAGATGTAGTCTTTTGACATTCTAGACATGTCAGAAAGTTAGCTAAATGATTCTCAGACTTTCCAACTTTCAACATATTAAGAAATCAAAGTTTCCAACCAGCCATTTGATTTTCCTTTGAAGTCAACCCCTGCATATCTAAGTTCCACATTCACAGACTCAAAAATATTCAGGAAAAAATTATATCTGCACTGAACATCTACAGAATTTTTCTTGTTTATTTCCTAAAAAATACAGTACAACCACCATTTATGTATAGAGCATTTATATTATATTAAGTATTACAGCAATGTAGAGATGATTTATAGCATGCAGAGGATATACATAATTATATACAAATGCTATATTGTTTTATATCAGGGACTTGAGCATCTATAAATTGTGGTATCCACAGGGGGTCCTGGAACCAACCTCTGATGTATATACCAAAGGATAACCACATTTAATACCCTCTCGTGCCATTCCTTTCCCATTTTAGAGGTAGATCCTAGCCCATCTCACGGAGTGGGTCAAAGGCCCCTAATCCTGGTCTTCCTTCCACTTCACTAACCGAAGAGAAGCTATTCACATCATGAAGATAAGAGCAGGAATTTTGCCAAATCATAGACTATGAGAAAGAGTCCTGAAGGTAGTTTCTTGGCCTTCTGTCCACAGAAGACAACTCATTAGGCCCCTGAGCCTGAAGAAGGAAATCAAGACCATCATTTTGGACTATATCCCACTTCCTCTGGCAAATCTACTTAGTCTCTATCAATCCAAGTAAGCTTTTCCATCTTAAATTCTTGACACATGAAATCTGCAGCATGTACACTCACACAAATAAAAGGTTTTGGAAAAGTTAAAAGCAGCTAATTGTATATGCCACTATTTCTTTAACTTTTAAATAAATTTTGGTTCTCAACAAATATCTTAAGCACTAGGACCTTTACAGTGGAACATTGTGAATTAATGGATATTTAATTTGATTTGATTTGACTTAAAAACAGATTTCATAAGGTTGTGCCAATATTGGCTAAAAAATTAGCTCATTTGTTTAGAGCTTGATATTTTCTAAAAACAGAATCAAGAGTGTAAGTCCCACTGGGGCCACCTTTATAGAAATGTTACACACAAATGTATATAAGTTTTTACTGTTGTTTTGGTTTTGTTTCTTTGGTTTTTTTTGCAGTACTGAAGATGGAACCCAGGGTCTCCTGCATACTAGGTAAATGCTGTACTACTGAACTACACCTCCAGCCCAGCGTAAGTTCTTTTTTTTTTTTTGTAATTTTCAAAAAATTTATTCATGACACATATTTTTTTAAAATTCCCACCCCCTGGAAATGAGCTAAAAAAATTTTTTTAAATCCACCTCCCACCTCTCTGTTCCCACTTCCTCCTATTTCCTCCAAATAAAAGGGCGAAAAAGGCAAAACAACAACAACAACCCAAAAACTAAAAAACAAAAACAAAACAAAACGGTAGTGCATTTCCCCAGGGGGAAGGGGAATTTACACTGGAGTTACTGAGAGCAGAAAGGAGATCTCCCGGCTTCAGAAACCCGCAAAGAAAGGCACTCAAAACAGAAAAAGAAACACAAAAGGAAACAAAATAGATCACTAGGCAAACTGGAGGGCAGGGAGCCAAATGAGGGTTGGGGTAGGTGGTAAACCTGGCAGAACTGGAATGGGCAGGAGGGGACTGTGAAAGGCAGGGAGAAGATAGAGGCAAAGTAAGAAGCAGAACAGTTTGGTGTCCTACCAGAGCCCTGGGTAAAAAAAAAAAAAACAACAAAAACCGCCTAACAGGCATTCCCACCTGCCCTCGAATAGCACCCAAAAGGGTGGAGCAGGGCAGGGAAACATGGGCAACAGCTTGCGCAGTTGAGAAGTGTCCATGGTGAATTCCCAGAGTGCATGAGCAGCCTCCTGCCCACTCCCTGGGCCTACCCCTACTCCCCAAAGCAGGTTCTTCCTCAGCAGTTAGTTATGGAAGTCCTTCCATAGTGTATCTTTTCTTAAAAAATATTTTTTTCCATCAAGGTCATCTTATGTTTTTATGGTTATTGTTATTATTTCCCCCTTCTTTCCTTTTTTTTCTCTCTCCTCCTAATACACACTTTTTTTAGTCAGGGGACTACCATGACCTCGCTCCAGCCCTGCCCCTGCAGACAAGACCTCAGGCCTGCTGTCAAAACCACTGTAGAATCGAGGGCAGGAACCGCTGCAGTTGGTGGTCCCGGCCATGGCGGGCACATGGGAACCCCAGTCTGTTGTGCTGATGCCTGATCTATTGGCTCGTTTCGGGATCACCTTGATTTGTCTTCCTCTAAACAAGGACTTGTCTAAGGCCAGGAAAGTCCTCACTGACTCCTTGAGCACTCTATATACGCAAACCCTTTGGGATGGCCACTAAATTTGTCACAAAGTATGGTGACACGGTTGACTGAACCACAGCCATGAAAGTGAGCTTCTAGTTCTTCCGCGGTTGCACCATGGTCCACACTGCCAACACAGATGGAACGAGCATCAGCCTCCATTCTCTCTTCAAAACCATGATCGCCAGGCCACCGTTGCCTGCAGGTGGACTCATATTCATCTGCTTCTCCACCTCGTTTTGCGGCTGTTTCAGCTTCTCCACTTCCTCCATCTCCCTGACTCGAGCTTTGATCGCTTCCAGCTCCCGGTCCTCAATGGCGCAGTCCCCTTGGTCACCGGCTCTTCCTTCTCCTCTTGGCTACCAGAGGCTTCTGAGCCGGGGCGGGGGCGGGGGCGGGGACTCGGGCTCAACCCTCCCACTCCACGCCGTTCCCAGAGTCCCCTGCGCCACTCCACCTCCCAGGGCCCCCTCGCCAGCCTCCTCACGGCCGAGGCCCAAGATGGTGCCTCCGCCCGTCCTGAAGCCTTGACCACCTGCAACCCCTCCAGAGTAAGTTTTATGAATGTAAAGATTTTGTCTGTCTTGTCTATGGCTGTATTTCCAGTGTCTAGAACTAGAATCCCAAGCTTTTTACATAAAAGGCCGGATAGCAAATATTTTAGGTTCTGTGGGCCATGCAGTTTTCAACTCTTTTCAACTCTGCCATTATAGCAAGAAAGCGTTTATGCACTATGCATAAATGGATGTGTGTGGCTCTGTACCCTTAAAACTTCATTTGCAGAAACCAGAATTTAAGTTTCATGGAATTTTCGCGTCACAAAATATTATTTTTCTTTTGATTTTTTTTAAAACCATTAAAAAATGTAAGACACTAGGATTTGTTCTTGAGCTAAATAGAAAACAACTAGCAGGCCACATTTGACCTGCAGGCTGTAATTTGCTGACTCCTGATTTAGACAATGCTTAAAATATAGTAGAAATCTGATAAACATGAATGAACGAGTAAGTGTAACTCTAAATACAGGAAAGTTTATTTTTTAAGCTTACAGTGGTTAGAACCCCAGGGAACTAATGACTTTTATCTGTTCATATAAATATGACACTTGCCATTTATAAAGCTCTTTACCATTCACAAAAATGGCTTTCATGTGGAGGGCCTCAATGTGTGATTGTAAACCGGTTTGCCGCGTTGGTCAGCAAGATCCTCCTGTATTAGTGAGTCGCCTGTTTCAGGAAAAAAAAAAGTTCTGAGAAAAGAACTTTTTATTCCACCCTTGTGCAGCTCTGTCACTCTCATCTAGGTGATGTGTCCTTCTCCTGGGACTCCCTATAGCTACAGCACTGACAGCTAACTAATAAGAGTTGTTGAGGCCCCTGCTTAACCCTCCTTGGGTGTGAGCAACATCCGATTGCCCCTACAAAGTGATAATCACCAGTCACAACTTTTGGCAGCAACTCCCCCAGACAGTCAATAAATAGGACAAAAGGAAAAGCCATAATCCATGGCAATGAATAGTGTTTTCCAGCCAGAAGCCGAGCCACAAAAGCCCAAGAAAAATCAATGATGCAGAAAGAGATTTTGGACCTGACTTCAGCTTTAGGCAAAGGAGGATAATTCTGCAGCTTCCTCTTAGCCTTCAGGTGCCTCCTGGAAATGTCAAAATTAATATCCAAGGGGCTGTTGCTATCGTGTGTCTTACTTAAAAGGTCTCCAAGTGAACTTTGTTACTGAATAACAGTCTTCCCAACTCCTGTCTCTAATGAGAAGACATGAGATGAAGCTGAAGAAATAATAACGTGCTTTGTTTCAAAGTCAGTTTTCTGTTAGATCTGTATGACAGAATGAAAATGCCTACCTAGTCCCCATGGCCCAGAGTAAAAGAAGACAAGTCTGTGGACTAACATGACCTCAGAAAACAGTCCCTAGCTAGGTCAATTTATCATCAGTGTGAAGTGGAGAAGAAGAGAGAAGTATGAATATAGTAAATAAAATGGGAAAGGACACCAAGTGCCTTTTGTGAAACAAAAGAGGAAATAAAACTGATAAACAAAAATGTAAGGAAATGTCAACCTCACTGGAAACCAAATAAATAAAAATCAAAACCACAACACGTTGCTTCTCATGCATCAAACTAGTAAATATTTTTAAAGTAATAGTGCCCCAGGTGCCAGTGTGCAGTGAGCCACACACCACCTAGCACTGCTAGTCAGACAAAAGCTGGCCAGATACTTTTAAAGCCATGACAAATACTCTGAAAGCCTTAGTGCTCATCCCTCTTGACACAGAGATACTGTTTCTGGACATCTAACTTCAGGAAGCAAGTCTTGAATATTAAAAATGTTTTGTGTATAGGCCTGGCACACTCCTGTGATTTCAGCTATTCAGGAGACCAAGACAGGAGAATCACAAGTTTGAGGTCAGCCTGGGCAATTTAGCAAGACCCTGTCTCAAAATAAAAAAGGGCTGGAAATGTGGCTCAGTGATGGAGCACTTGCTTATATAGAAGAAAGCCTTGAGGTCAATCACCATTGTCAGAGAGAGAGAGAGAGAGAGACAGAGAGGGAGATTGTTTTGTGTACAAAGTTAGGTTTTGCATTTTCAGTAGCACTAAACTAGCAGTCATCTTAATATCTGGCAGCAAAATGGGGGTTAAAGAAATGATGGTTTATCTGCACAGTGGGATATTATCCAGCTTCATAAATAAAACACTAGAAAACATTTATGATGTGTGGAATAAAGTATGCAAAACTGTGCGTACTATCTGATTATAAATATGTTTTAAAGTCAATTTGTATTTAAAAAGAACATAAAATGTTATTAGTAGTAGTTTGAGTCATATGTTTTGGAGTGATTAAAAAATTTTTAAATTTCTTTGTATTTTCCAAACTTACTAGATATGCAAAGATAATTAACTTATTTTAGCAGGTGTAGGGCAGGAAGGAAAATAGCCCCAGACTCCTTTTTAGGATATAAGTACTCCACATAGGAACTTGGTCTTTTCTTTCTTTCTTTTTTTATCCACTTGGAGCCCAGGAAATCAGGCATATATATTACCCTTGAAGTGTTTAGAAGCTTGGGCTGGGGATTTGTGCCTCATAAGCACAAGGTCCTGAGTTCAATCCCCAGTACCAAAAAAAAAAAAAAAAAAAA